AATTTGTATAACGAAAAACCAAACATCGATTTTTCCAAACCCAACCAACCATATCCCCCAACCATGGCAACGCCGCAACCCTCGACGATAACGCTGGTGAAAATTGAGAATATCATAAAATTAGTAACATGTTCCTTGTTATGCTTGGACTGACGCAAGCGTATGAAGCACCTCTGCCGGGACTGAGGGCCGCCCCAGCCGAAGGACTTGTCCGTCCAGACCCACCACAAGATAGAAGAAGGGGAAAGCGCAAGCTGCAAACTAAGCCCCGACCACCACGAGGGTGGCGATCTGAGCCCGCCGCCACGCCCGACCTTCACGCCGTCCAAAATCCCAGCGACCGCCATGGCGATATAGATTTTGGGAGAAATGCACATGATCGTATCTGCATATATCCAACAAATCATCAGCAAAATTATTTATCATCAAGAATTAGATATCAATTCTCAATAGTTCAATTTTCGCAATAAGATATCCACATCAAACGACAAACCTGTTGATGCTCGAAAATGTCAGCAACAGAGGGTGAACTGTATACTAAATTGTATACTCCGCTCAAACTGCACGAATGGATTTGTACCGAAAATATGGGTTGGATCCCTCTTCCAATCGTGACTGTTTTTGTGTGAAGAATATATAAATTAGACTGTAAAGAAAAGCAAGAAGTCAAAGATGAAGATGAAGTTTATTTTCATTCATAATGCCTTTTTGGGAAAGAGAAATGTCCCCCTTTCTTACGAGCTTGTCCTCTTTTATGATCTCCCTTTTTGGGAGATTTCATTTGGATAAGGTTATCTTTTTTTGGATCCTCTTGGATCCTCAAGTACATATCAAATCTTTAAAATATGGACCTCAATTATTGTAGAATAAAATAATACAAATAATATTTTAATGTGTTGTATTTTTATTTAGTCGTAGCCAAATTGGGTACCAACAAGAGGCCCCCGAGTTTAGGACATGTTGGATAGAACTGTTCTGAAGTCGCGTTTATTTACAATTTGGCATAATTTTAAGTATAAGTTTTTGAGCTTGGGGCTCTTTACGCTATGATAAATGACACTTGTTGAATGGATACGTGTTGGTAGGCGATTTATGGGTACTTTGGGACCCATGTATGCTTTGTCGGTAGCTTTTAGGATTTGGCCTGACAAATTCGTGTTAGTTGTGCTCTGGTGCACTTTGACGGACGTTTCTCAGTGGAATGGATGGAGAATTCTTTGGAATTGCTATCGAATGGGGCCTAGATGGCCTGGTTGGGTAATTTGGTACCCGTTTTTACGTTCGTGCCATGTGATGTGCTTGTTTAATCTTGTTGTTGCAATGGAATAGATTTGTGTGGGCACTCGGGCCCTTTGAATTTTTTAGCGATTCACACGAAGATGCTTGCTGATATGATTCGCTTGTCGATTCTAAGTTAGCCGTATTTGTGGCTCTTTGTCGCATTGGGGCGACTCGAAAATTGATTTCTGTGATTGTTTTGTTACTTTATGTTGACCTGGTCAGATAATTTGTCATCCGGTCTTCGGTCTTCCTGAAATACTCCAGAGTTCGTTATTTTTATATGTACCATAAAGTACTTTGTCGGGCTCGTGGCCTTTCGAACTAGAACATCTCGGCCTTTGAGCTCGTTGGCCTTTAGTTTTAGGGCATTTCGGCCTTAGGGCTCGTAGGCCTTTAGTTTTAGGGCATTTCGGCCTTAGGGCTCGTAGGCCTTTAGTTTTAGGGCATTTCGGC